CTTCAGTTGTAGGAATGAAATGGGTGTTTCGCAACAAAATATATAAGGAAGGTAACGTGATTCGCAATAAAGCACGATTGGTTGTAAAAGGATACTGCCAGGAGGAAGGTATAGACTACGATGAGACATTCACACCGGTTGCAAGACTTAAATCTGTTCAGATCTTTCTTGCATATGCCGCTCACAAAAACTTTGAAGTTTATCAAATGGATGTGAAGTGTGCTTTTCTGAACAATGAACTAGAGGAGACTGTCTATGTGGAACAACTACCTGGCTTCGTAAATGCAAAGTATCCAAATCATTGTTATATTCTGGATAAGGCTGTCTATGGTTTGAAACAAGCTCCAAGGGCATGGTAAGAAACCCTTACTCGTTTTATGAAACAATCCAAATTTAAACAAGGTTCGGTTGACCCAACCTTCTTTCGCAAGAAAGATGGTGACCACTTAATGATCATTCAGATTTATGTTGATGATATCATTTTCGGATCCACTAATCCTAAATTAACTGCTGAATTCCGAAAATTGATGGAAACTAAATTTGAAATGAGCTCAATGGGTCCTATTAACTTTTTCATTGGTTTAAACATTAGACAGAGTTCAGAGGAGACATTCATCAACCAAGAAGCCTACACGAAGACCTTGCTTGCGAAATTCGGAATGGTGGGAGATTCAAATGTCAAGGTTCCAATGGCGTTTGGAACAAAGCTTACTCCATCGTTGGACAAAGTGATGGAAGATATTACTCTATATCAGTAGATGATTGGGTCTTTAATGGATCTAACATCGAGTCGTCCAGATATAATGTTTGTTGTTTGTTATTGTGATAGGTTTCAGGCGAATCCACGTGAACCTCATATGATTTCTGTGAAGAATATTTTCCGATATCTCAAAAGAACCACCTCTCTCGGAATTTGGTATCCTTCTAACTCCGGTTTCTTTGCTGAAGCTACAAAGACTATCTAAGCATCAGAGTCAACCATTTCAGAAGCGACCGCAAAAGTCAAAAAACTACATAATGAAGTAACAAAGTTTATGGCTGACTTCCGAAGATCTTCAGATGAAAACACCGAGCTTTTTAATAAAGTTATTACAAGTCTTGGCTCTACACTATAGGCTGAAAAGGAAGATCTTTCGCATGTTTGCTCCGCAATACAAGTTGAAAATTCTGAGCTTAACATCGCCATTGACTCTAAGATTGAAAAGCTTCAGTCCGACCTTGCAGCTAAAAACAACCTCATGGACAAATTGGCTCAAAAGACTGAGAAAGCCAAACTTCTTTCAGTGAATCTGACCTACGCCAACAAGCATATTGAGGATCTAGAATCAGAGAAAACTTTACTAAAGAGTTGTGTTTTGGAGGTTAACTAATATCTGCAAAATCTGGTAGAGACTCATGATTCACTGCTCACGGTCTCGGTACGACAACATCTATCAGACAAACTCAAGCCAGTCTTTGATACGATGAATAGAATTGAAGGTGTTTCGGAAAGTGATGTCATTCCAAAACAAGGGGGAGATAATAAAGAACAACTCAAGCAAAAGACTGGTGAACCCACTGATGAGAAGGAGCAAAAACCGAAACCGGATCCTAAGGATCAGAAGGATAATGAAGCTTCTGGATCTAGAGGCAAAGACAAAGTTATGTTCAATGAAGAAGAAGAAGAAGAAGAAGAAGAATTATCTGAAGGTAAAAAAACTTATGAGAAAGAAACGAGAGAAGGAGCTTGATGATATTCTGAAACTTCGTAAAGAGTTAGAAGCAAAGGAGGCTGAAGATAGAGTTGCGAAGGTCACTCTGGAAACTCAGAAGTCATTATTTCCTACATAGGCATTAGAAAGAATTCAGAAGGAGGTAGTTGATGATCCGAGCACCCACTTGTTGGAGCCTTCGGTATCATTTGAGCTTGATAACACTGCTGACTCTCAGTTCGACTTTCCGATCACTCCTAGGGATTTTCTATTCTGATGCTTTGATAAGATTAAGAGGGCACCACTCTCGAAGTATGATGTGAATAATATTCTCTTCTCTTTCTATCTCAAGTATGGAAAGCGTCAATACAAATCATGGAGTTTGCAAAAGCTTGTTGCTGTGACGGTATATGCTCCTATTGCGATTTAAAATTTCATCAACGTCAAATTCAAAGGATTCAAAGGATCAAAACGTGTTGAAGATAAATTTTCACTTGCTGGTTTGCCATGCATAAATCCACACGATTGGATTTGTTTGTTTATGATTTTGTCAAAGGATGAACAAAAGTACGAGCCAATCATAGCTCATCTGAAGAGGATGCTGGTTTGCTACATCCATGAGTTCGCAAAGATTGATGTGGAAATTGCATCTGTTCTGAAAAAGAAGCCAAATTAGAATCCTGAGGAAGAATCAAAGGATCTCAACAAGATGAAGCTAGGAAAAATCCGAAAGGACAATTGGAGTGTCGTGTACCAAAAGAAGTCTGATAAAAAAGTTCAGAGGTGTATATTCTTCTTACTTTACAAAAGTTTACACACAACCTTTGCTCTTAACTACATTATGGGTCTGACCGAAGCCTGTAGAGCGAATGATGCTGCTAATTAGAAGTGCTTCTCGGATATGATCAAGTGGTACGTTGTTGTCTGAAACACTCTTTTGGGTTTAATGCCGAAACTATTCAAGGTTGAGAAGAAGCAACAACAATGAAGAATCTACTTCGCAATTTGACACAAAGGGGGAGATTGTTGGGCTTATTATGTGTTGTGTCAATTGTATATGATAGAATAGTCTCATTTACACCGGTTTGGGCCTATCCATCCGTGTTTATTACTTTCTACGGTTAGACTATTTAATGTGCATGCATGTAACAATTAGGGTTAATCGATTGTATCGCCCTACCTAGGTTTTACAGAGAAGTTCACATTGAACTCTTCTAAAGCTATTCAATATAATCATTTGGCACGTTTTGATCTTCATTGTTCTTGTTATTTATTTACACTATTTATAGAATCTATCGATCTAAGTAGTTATTGATAACAAAATGGAGAGATCAAACTTACTATATACATCGAGGGGGTAAACTCTATGCAACACTTTCTGTTATTGATGCTTTGTCTTCTTACAATGTTATACTAGGTAGACCATGGATCCATGACATGGAAGTAGTACCATCAACATACCACAAATACGTTAAGATGTCTACACCTTGGGGGATAGTGAAGATCATCGATGATCAACAATATTCCATAGATTGCTGTAAAATCTTAATGAAGCCTTCCACGGTACCAAAAAAAGCATAAGAACTAAAGAAAAGGGCATAAGACGTGTTAGAAGCAGAAGAACAAGATGTAATCGAAGTGCCCTTAAATCTTGAGGATCCTAATGCCAAAGTACTTATAGGATCCTCGATACTAGCATAAATCAAACAAGACCAGATGAAGTATCCAAACAACAGAAGAAATACGTTCACATGGAAACACGTAGATATGATAGGTATAAACAAAGAAATTGTAACATCCTGTTTCGGGTCGTTCTGGGATTTAAGGCACGTAGGCTGTAATTAGGGTATGAGAAGGATCTGAGGTTTTAATGAAGAAAGTTTTAGACCCTTTTTGGATGCGGGTAAGGTAGGTTGTGTAATAAAAGAGTTTGGTGTGTGCTTTAGAGCCCAAGGGTATCAGTAAAGGCGTTGGCTCGGTCCTTTATGAAATTTGGGTTTCTTCCAGGAAGTCTTAAGGCTATGGTGAGTTGTTAGGGGCGTGGGGCTTCTCGCCACCTTTCTGTGGATATAAGGTTCATTGGAAACGGACCCTAAGACGAGGAAGTTATGGCAGTTTGAAGTATTTGGCATAAATGGTCCTTAGTTGAAAAGATTAGCAAATTGGTCCTGTTGAGAGAAAAACTTGAACAAACGTTAGTACAAGATAATGTTGCGGAATAATAAGTTAGCGGCTGTTTGGCAGGATCTGAATTTTTAAGATCTGAATTTTTAAGAGGTCTGAATTTCTAAGAGGGCTTGAAATTTTAAGAGTTGAATGTTTAATAAGCTGTTTGGTTGTGACGTCTGAATTGTTGTGATGAATTATAAAAATGACCATTTTACCATTCTGTTTTATTTTTTTATTGAATTCAAGTGTCTTTTTATAAAATAACCTAATCAATTTCTTAAATAATTATAAGAAAAAATATAAACACCATATAAATCCAAATTTAGCATAAATCAAAATTAAATACAAATCCAAATCAAACATAAATATTTTTAAATCCACAAAATCATACTAAAATCCGAATATGACGAGGTGTTTGGACTTGAGGTTGACTTATGTTGGTATTTAGAAGCATAAAACATTCATATTTATTTTGTATATGATGATAGCAATTTATGAAAAGTTTCTTCCTTTTCAATCAACCCAACTTCCATAAACCCATTAAAAACCCTCTTACATACCAAAACATCAAAATCTATTATAACAGATGTCTTCGATTGATGAATAACTTCTCCCACCTCCTTCAAACACCCTAACATCAAATATGCAGAAAGTATACAACCATAATATCTACTAATCATTTTCTGATTTCTCATTCTCAAAGACCTCCATATTTGATCAAGTGTATCCTTATTCCCCAAAGCACAATGCAACACAACCAGAAAATCATAAGTTATCCATTCCCTTTGTGTAATAATCTTAATCCCCTTTTCACTTTCCACCACAGAGTTAGAATCTGAATTTACAAGATGCCCATATGAAAGATAAATCTTCACAAGATTCACCTATCTTACCCAAATCTCACTCTTTCCATCTAAATGGGAGATATTCTTTTAATAAAGAACAAAACCATGCCTTTTAAACAATATTTTACAAATAAAAAACAAATTAATTGGTCGTTGACACCAATTCCCATTTTTCCTAATTCCCATTTCGCTAACTGTATTCAATCTCATAAATTTTCAGTCATTTTAAAATTGATCCACAATTCTTATTCCTACGATCTCAACCAAAATTCTCATACATCAGAAACGAAATTGAATGTCTCTCAAGAAGGAGAAAACGCTTACGAGAATAGAATCAGTAAATCACAAACCCAGGTTGTTCTCTATGAGATTCATGACAATATGTGATTTTGTTAACACATTCCATTGGGATCAGAAGGAGAAAAAAACCTTACCAAGAGCTGTTGTTGATGACTTTGTGTGAGCTAGAGGGCGGCGCTCCCAACGGCGTTGGCGGAGGTGGTGTTACAAGAGGAAGCGGTGGCCGGCTGGTGGCTAAGGGGCTGGCGGAGTGTTGCAGATCGGAGATGTAGTGGGAAGGAGCAAGGAGGTGTCGTGTGAAGTACAAATAGAAAGCGGGAGAGAATGAGAAAGGTCTGATGTCGTCGGAGATGGCGGCGTAAGCAGAGGCGGTGGATGGCTGATGTCGGAGGGGATAGTAGAGCTGGCACGATCGAAGATGCAGTGGGAAGGATGGGTCGGCGTTTGTGAAATAAAGAGAAGAGGAAAACGAGTCGATTACCAGGGTAAAAGAGGAAGGCGCGTTATTTTTTTTTTTAGTTCAGAGACGTCCCAGGATCTGAAAAATTAAGTGGCATTTTACAAATTAAGAGCCAAAAATTCAGATGTTACCAAACAGTCTGGATCTTAAAAACAAAAGATTGCCTCTTAAATTTTCAATTAAGAGGCTACCAAACAAGGCCTTAATCTCAGAGGATCTTGTTAGCTCAACAATAACAAGTTAGAAGTGTTAGATTGCGGAAATATAAAGGAAAGAAATAGCAACAAGTTATATCAAGTAGACACCAAGTTGATTCATAACAAGGATTGCATGCAACCACAAGTTAGTAAATGTGATCAACTTAAAGTGAAGAGGGACTCGAATTATCAGTTAAGATAGAATAGAGATGAACGATCTTTGTATTTCGATAATAGTCCTGGAAGTGGGTAAGTGTTACATGAAGAGGGAGTCTCTATTTATAGAGTCTCGAAAAGTTAGATTGTGAAATAAACAAATACTAAACTACTGACTTCAGTGACCATGCAAGATTCACTGGACAAAACAAAGTAAAAACGCTAATTCAGTAATGTAACATAGAAGTCATCATGCAATCGTTCATCTCTGCGGTAGTTCTCCAGGTCTGCGGTTCACAAAAGATAATATCAATCTGCGGTAGTCATTTTCTTCTATGGTATCACCAACAATCCAGGTCTGCGGTTCCTTAGCTAAAGAGGGTCACTTTTTGTTTCAATAATTTCCCTTAAAGTGACCTCTTAGCTATTTTCTTCACTTTTTCAACTTAAGGAACTTGATGAGAATCCACCAAAATTTTCTTACTTCAAACAGCCACTGGATTCTTCTTGTTATCTCGAACTTGACTTCATCTATTGTGTGCTTTGACCGTTGCATCAAAGCCATAGTGATATCAGTTGTTTCTTAGTCAATCGATGGATTGCGGTCACCGAAATGAAATATTTGGGACCACTTTGAGCTTTCTTGTACACGACCCCTAGCTCAGGGAAGTTTGCTGCACCAAGTGACATGTCTTGAATTCCTTCAGTGTAAGTTGGCACATGCTCGAAGTCAGGAAAATCGAACTTCTTGGCAAGGACTGGATGAATTTCAACATCAATCTTTCTAAAGCCGCATACCAATGCCTTGAGGAAATCACAAGCTCTTTCATAAGCAACTTTTATCTTTGGATATTTTTCAGCTTTGAGCTGAAACACCCGAGCTATCAGAAATATTTCTTCAGGGTTCATGTTCACAAAGTCAGCTTGGATTCAGACGTATTCACTTTCTCTTTTGGTCAGGGTATATTGGTAAAATTCAGTTTTCATGAATTTTCTTACCTTATAGTTCTTTACCCCGTCTAGTCTATCATTTTACCAGGTTTTCTGAAACTCATAACCATGCTTAGCATGAAAGAGATTCAGGCGTTCAAACTCCATTGAGAGTCTTTTATCATTCGGAAGGCTGAGATCAAATGGTTGGAAGACTGGAAAAAACTTTGAGTTTGGGGAGATGGGTATGTCCCAGTAACCATCTGATGGTGGTTCACGATAAGTAAGGATTGGTCGATAATCATCATCCAGTAGTCTGCGGGTAGGATTTATCTAATAATTGACTAATGACTCATCTATCATTGTGTCGAACCCGTGATCTCTCCAAATTTTTTCTACAAAGTTTGCGGCACTCCAGTCTCGTTTCCTTTCAGTAGTGGCCAGGGAGTCTTCATAGTGCTTAGATGACATTTCATGTGCTAAGTTTTTGAAATGAGGAGGAGTTTATTGTGGAGAGTCTTGAGAGATTGACTTTTGTGGAGACTTCGGTGAAGACCGCGGAGTTGGTTGTTTTGGAGAAGATCGGGGAGTTGGTTGTTTGTTGAGCTCTGCGGTAGGAGGGGTTGATCCCGTGGAGGAGTTTGTTGCTGATGAACTGAGGGAGTGTTGGATTGTGAAGGATCTTGTTCTTGTTCTTTTCTTGGATTACTTTCACATCCCCCTTTTGAGGAAGCGATCTCTTGTTTCTCCTCAAACCATTCCTTCAACCCATCAAATTTCTAAAATGTCTCATTGAAGTGTGTCTTCATTTGTTCACAGAGTTGTTGATTGCTTGGGATCTCCTTGTTGAATAGTAGTTGATAAATCTCCTTTGTAAGGCGGAGTATTTCATCAACACTCGAATTTGCAGTGAGTGATCGCCTTAACCTGTTGATGGTGTTTTGGAGGACCGCAAGCCTTAATTCGTATGCTGTGTGGGTCTCTTCAACTAGTTTCTTGGAATGACTTGCTTGATTGTTGAGTGTTTGTTTGAAATCAGTTTTCAACTCCTTGATATCTTTGATGAAGTTTTCAGCTTGGGATATGAACTCTTTGTGTTATGCGGCTCTTCGATTTCCAAGATCTCGAATACCCATTTCAATTCGTAGAAGTATTCTTTGAGTATTCATCCTTTATCTTGTCTATAAAACTTCAACACGATCAACAAGTGACTGGGGTGTTAGAGTTTCAGAGTTCTGCGGTGCTTGGGTAGTTACGGCAGCAAGAATTTGATCAACTTTATCCTGCAGACTGAGAAATTATTTCGTAGAGACTGCGATATTCTTCTTCTTCTTTTGTTTTGGCTTGGAGGTGGAGTGTTGAGATCCACTCGATTATTCATCATCAATCACTATTATGAAGTCATATGAAGGAAGGGTTGTTGAATATCATCATAGTTGTCATCATCAAGCCCGAACATAAGAGCTGAGCATATTTCAATTGCGGTACCATATTCGTTTGAGTCATGAGCTTCTTCATTTGGAGGGGGATTTGAAGGACCAACACCATCCTCCATGTTGTGAACTTGTTGAACAGTGTCTTCCATTGTTGAATTGCCATGATGTCGTGAACAGTTTTGGAATTGTTGATCATGGAAGCCCAATATTTTGCCATAGTTTGAATGGCTTCCTCCTTTTACTGTTTTTGTTGCACCTGTTGCGCCTTTCGTGCTTACACTTCCCTATTGAATGCTTCAAATTTTCTTATCCCAGACTCTGAAGTTAGACGATATCGATTCCAAGAGCCATCTGATGCATGGCTGTCAAATCCTTGATTCGCCGAGGTGTCCCTCGGGTTCATGGTTCCCTGCACATTTGTGCTCCCCATGCCTAAACCACTTGTAAGTAATGATGGCGGTATAGGATTTCCAGAGCTTCCTCGGTCTCCTTGATCTAGAATCAAGTGTGGCATCTGCTATGTTCTGGCAAGGGCTGAGAAAAAAGTGCCCTGTTGTGCAACTTGTGTATCAAGTGTATGTGTGACTCGAAGCAAAATGGAGTTCAACTCCTCGGGTTCAAATACGTGCAAGCGTGATGCCCTGGAGACCTTAGGGCGACTCGTAACAATTGGATCCACTTAGGTTCCAATTGGGGGTATGTCTCCATCATGTGATGAAACATATACACTTGTTGTATCTGAGTGGTGAGTTTGGGTTTTTGAGGGTGAGTCTGCGGTGACTCGAACGACTACAGGAGTCTGTTAAGAGACTCCGGTATGTGCCATGGTACGCATTTGGCTATGATTTGGGTTTAACTTCAGTTTCTTTCTCCTAAAGATATCATGGGATTCTGAGATCTCATCTTGGTTTTCATCAAGAACATTGATAGGTATGTCATGAACCGGAGCTGTGGGGGCAGGCTCTGCGGTTTGAGCTTTTCTTTTCTTTGAGGGAGCAACTCCCTTTTCACAATGTTCTTTGGAGTTTTCCTTGTGACATCAAGAGATTTGACTCTTTTGGGTTTTGGTTGTGGGATCAGTTATGCGGTAGTCTGTAGGTCCTGTGTTGCGGTGGGCTGACTGGTTCTTGGCAATATCACTCGTAGCCATTATAGTTTGATCCATTATAGTTTGATCCATTATAGTGAGTCCAATGGACTCTATGATGTACATGGTCAGTCTACGAATGAGACCGAAAATAGTTTAATCCTTGGAGTCAGTATACCTTTTGAGATCGCGGGCTGAGAAAAGATTGGTGTCGTTGCCCATGCTAAGGTTAGCGTCCTTGTGCAGATCAACCAAACATAGTGACAAAAACCTTGCAAAGATGAGCTCTGTCATACTTTCTTTTGGTGTGTCCTTGAAGATGTATTGTAAGAAATCATCCCAGATGATTTGACCATAATTGACTGCATTTCGAGTAAAAATGCTCCAAATGATTTCCAGTAGCTTGATCCCCATGTTGTCTATCCCTCCTGTTCTTCCCGAGGGACATCAGATCATGAAATGGCAAACAAATTGCCAAACAGCCGGTAACTTGTTCTTCTTGAATTCTCCCACACCTTTCAATTTTGCCTGGTACCCTATTTGATAAAGGGCAGAGAACACGTCGTTTATGCTTGGAGAGTAAAATTTCGTTGAAGGCAGCATCATGAGATTGATTGCAGAAAGGAATTTCTCCTTGGTGAGAACCACAAAAGAATCATCGGTGAGGTTCAGATGAACTTCTTGAAGGTTGTTGCTAGGTCTGAATGCTGAAAAGGCACATTTGAAAAGAACTTGATCACCAGTTTAATGGACTCGTTGTATGATAGATGATTTTTAAAGATTCCTCTGAAGTTACCGGAAGCAATCGATGGAGAGAGGTCTTTGATTGTGGATTCAGACCATGTTAGACGAACTGAGCCTAAAGCTTTTGATTGCTTCTTTGAAATTCCAGACTTCACCATTTTTGCAGAGAAAAAGATTTTGAAGAACTTGCAGAAAGCTTTTTAGCAAGAAGGTGAAGAAGTTGAGAGTTCGTCGTAGAGAGTTCAGATAGCGTAAAAGCTAT